CTGGCCGTAACCGGGCCCGAGCTGCGCCGGCCCGGCCCTGCCTTCCCTCGGCGGGCAGAGATCAAATGGCTTTTCCTCAGGCGGAAATCTCGCGTCTCGGCCTTTGAGTGACGCTTCTGTCCTCCCCCGGCATATCCGTCAGCTAGCTTGCCTCACACATTTTAGGCTGAGAGCTTGTTTTCCGTTGTTTGTGAAAGCAGCCTGTTCCAGCGAGTCACAGCCTTGTACAATTTTAGAATCACAGAACAGTTTAGGCTGGAAAAGATCTGTAAGATCATGAAGTCCACCCGTTAATCCAACACTGCTAAGTCACCACTAAACCGTGTCCCCCAGTGCCAGGCCTACACCTCTAATTTTTCTAGGGATGATGATTCCATCACTTCCCTGAGCAGCGTGTTCCAATTCTGAGTCATGATTGGCATCAGATTGAAGTGGTAACATCAGGAAAATCAGTCTGTAGTTCCTACCCATCTTAATTAACCTAAAGGTCTGATCAAACCTGAAGGCTATCTTCTACTAATAGGTAATTCACTTATAAATTTAAATAAGGGAGTAGGAATTTTTACAATAATCAAATTCATTTCTTTAGCCATTTACCTCTGATGTAAATGCAACTCTCCACAGCCACTCTGCACCTTTCTATCTGTATTGCAGATCAGAGGAGTCTGAAGGTGTCATTGAGTTAGGACTCCTGGGATATGTGGAGATGATGAGACACAAAGGAACAGAGGTGTTTTATACACTTTACAGTATTTGTCCTGGTGTATCTGACTGAATAAGTAACAACTCCAGGACAGCGAGATTTACAGAGCTGCTTAGTTGTGGCCCATGGCCCCAGCACATAGTCACAGACATTAAAGAAGGGCCACTAATCCTCCTACCTACACATTTATATCAAATTGCAGGCCTCTTCAAATAATGACTTTTTTGCTCGTAATATTAATTTTTCACTTGGAAGCAGAATTCACAATCAAAGTATTTTAAACAAGGAAAAAAATCTTGGTTTTGCTGTGTTCAGTATTTTAAACCCTGTATTTACATTGTGTTACATTGAAATGCCTATGTTATTTGGTTAAACTGAAGTCAAGGGGTGAGAGTATTCATCCCTTTTTCAGATATCCTAGATTATAGTTCTGAAGAAAGGAATATAAAATCTGCAATTAATTAAATTACCAAATATTAAAGTGAGTGGGCTGACTTGGTAGGTTGCCAGGTGCCCACCAGCTTTTTTTTTTTCTCACTTCCCAGCCTCAAAAGAAGATGGGGAGAAAATATGATAGGAAGCTCATGGATTGAGCTAAGGGCAGGAATGTCAAACAGCCATTACCATCATGGGCAAAACTGGTTCAATCTGGGGAAATTAATTTAACTTTTTGCCAATTAAACAGCATAGGATAGAGAAACATAATGACAAATCTAATTCCACCCTCCTTTTATTTCTCCCTTCTCCCCAGCTCAACTTCGCTCCCAACCCTTGTATCTCTATGTCCTGAGTTAAGCCACAATTTGTTTTAATCAGTGTGTATGTAGGTCCTGTTTGACAAATCTAGTTAAGCTGCAGGACTACTTCTTCAAGCAAGTAACTTCTCACTTGCGATGGCCCAAAAGAAGAATTCTGTACACCAGTGACTGAAAAGCTCGCAGGGTGTCTGTTTTTCTCTTGTGAAGAACAGTTTTGTTTATGACTCAGGGCTAAATTATTCAGGAAGACAGTAAGCAGCACTTTGGAGTATGTGTTTGCAACGCACTGGTCCTCACCTGGTGGTCTGGCACACGCAGGGCAAAGCTAGGTGCTGAAGCATGTTATTTGCTGTGTTCTTTATTTTCATGTAGTTTTGTTGGGGGTTTTTTGTTTAAATTATGTACCAAGAGCTTTCAGCAGCACAAGCCTGAAATGCTGGCATGAAGCAATGTACATGCCAGAGATAATGTAAAGAACCAAATTACAAACAGTACAATGGAGATGAGAAGGAAGAAAAAGTCGCCTCTGGCATACTTTTCCTGAAGAAATTGAGTTTACTGCTTTAATACATTACAACTTTGTTACATGTGTAAAACAATGCAATATGTATTTCTATGTAACAACAAAAATAAGCTTCATAGCATTATTATTACAGTGCTAGCATTTATAGCAATTATAATATTATTAATACAGAGGAACTTTGAACATTTTGACTTTGTCCATAAATACACTCATGTAAGGTGCTCCAAGACCAGAAAATTGAGATTTATGTACAAAGCTGTTGAAATGCTGCAGCTTAGAGATACCCACTTAGAGATTGATACCCACTGAGAATTTAAACCTATGTATTTTTATTTATTTCCTATTGAATTACTGTTTTTTTCAAATATTATTTTTCTTTTATTTTTCTATGGTTCTAGGTAATGTAGTCACCAGTACAAAACAAGGCTTTATGTTTGCACTAAAGTATCAAAATCCCTCCCTCAAGGAGCACAGAATCTGCAGGGCAGGACATGAACTCACAAATCAAAATCAAAAAATCAAAAGAACAAGTATTCACTGAAATACATGCAATTTCTCATAATAATAATAATCTTCATTACTTAAAAACATTCTCAAATACAAGAAGAAATGAGAACAGGAACTTTACTGGAATGGAAATGCCAAGGGTAGGGGAAAAATAAAACAGCATGAGAAACAGCAAAAAAGTAAACAATATAAAAGAAGTAACTGTTTTGTTCAGTGTATATAAAACATGCAAAGATTTTTATAAAATAGTGCAAACAATTCATAAAAATATACATCAAAAAGCAGTTTTTGCAGAACTGGACTACGTGGTCACGACCTGTATTCCGTACCGTGTTGTTTATTCCATATAACTTAAATTAAAGATGTTAATCTTTCTATGCTTTGGCTTCTATGAGTAATGCTTTCAGGATAACTACAAACAAGACTTGTTCACAGACCAGGAACATTTAAAATAAAGTAATGGCACCAATATTACCATCTTCCACATGAACATTTCCCCTGTAAAGCACTACATGACATATTCTCAGGAATGACTCTGAAATTCAGCTGAACACATCTGAAGTAAGAGAATATAGGACAAGGTGTAATTATAAAGATCATATCTATTAAAAAAAACAATAAATTGTATGAAAAAATACACAAGGGTTTATAAATCTACATCACAGCACTTCTATTTGATTTTCTTTCTCTAAATAAGGTGCTATATGAAATAAACATTTAATTACTGGAGACAAAAAACCCATAAAATTCTAGTTCTTTTCTCTGTCTGTATATGTGTCAGTTAATCACTAATCAATAAGTGGTTTTACTGTGAGAGAATTATATTCCACAGTTATCCTAGGCTTGATAGTGTAGTTAATAGAAATTGCAAATACTCATTACCTCTGAATTTACACATTTAGGTTGGAAATTTTTTTCAGTTTTACATCAGAAAAATCCTGGCTTCAATTTTTCGTCCAACAGGAAGAAACATATGATTGTGCCTCTTTTCAGAGAAAAAAGATGAGGCATATTTTTATGTCCATAGGAATATATGGAAGGGAACTGCCAAAGCCAATCAGTCTGATAATTGACTAGAACTTTGTTAATTCAACATCAGTGAATATCAGGGAAGGCAGATCTTAACATCCTGAGCATTTTATTTTTAGCCCTAGAACTCCTTGAACAATTGAGAAATTGTCTCAGGAGTTCCCTCTCTCCAGCTCAGAACAATTCCAATTTACAGTTTATATTTATTAATAGACAAATTATAGGAATTTATTGTAGACCTTTTTTTTTTTCAATCTCAATCAGATTTTTCTTTGATAGTTTACAGTGAACTAACGAGTTTAAAGTGAACTCTTCTAGTTTTCAGCATAATTGCTTTGTTAACTGCGGGTAATTGTGGTCTTAGACTTTTCTCTCAGAATGGGATTTAACTTTACAGATTATTATTTCAAGAGATTATTTAAATACTAAAGATCTTTATAATCCTTTAGTTTTAAAAGTGATTTTAGTAATGGACCTTTTATGATAGTCATAAAATAGATAACAAACTATTTACATGTTTTACCTAGTGCTATTTGCTCTCAGTTATCTTTGTGCTTTAAATAAAGAGGAATTATTTAATACTTACAGTATTATTCAAGTGCATTAACTGTAAGTAAATATGAGATGAGTATTATAAATACTGTTTTAATTACATAATATATCATAGCACATATACTAAGCCACTATCCAAATCCACTATATTGGATAGCATGATAACAAGAAATTAATATATAAAATATGGGATAGCATTGTTTTTATTTAAAAAATATTTCACAGGAATTACAAAACATTTTTTATTATTGAGACAAGATACTACAGGTGCAACACTTCTTTGCATGATTTCTTTCAGGTAGTCATCAAGAACTAAGGCTTCACTCATATTTGACCAGAAGAAAAATAAACCTAAAATTAATTGTGTTTTAGAGGAAGAATACTATCAAAATCTGTTGGGTTTTTTTTTTTCTCACAGGAACATGTATCCACAGCCATAAGGAGGTATCCAGGAGTTCTATGCTGAAGAGCTGATGAAAATAAATTTGAGGAGGAGGAAAAATGAAAACTATTATTGAACTCATTTGAAAATGCACAGAAGTAACAAGTCTGCTTTTAAATTTTTATGAAGTGCAAGAGATGAGCAAGTTTTGAACTGTGGAAGGTCCTGTCTTGCCCTTGTCTTAACCTGTGTCAATCTGTGTTTAGTTTAGTCCTGCCATGCAACAAGTGCCCAGTTCTCTACTCCATCCTGTTGTACCTGCTTTGGTTAACATTGATGGTGGCTTTCAAAGCCAGTGAGCTTTCAAGCTCTGATGTTTCAGCCCTTACATAAACAGTTCTACTGACTTGAAGTGCAAGGTGTGGCACCCCCAGCTTGGCATGCTGTGAGTAGGACATTTTGTCACCATAGGCAAAGTGATCAAATGACTGCACTCCTTTCTAAAATGCTTTGTTCTCAGGATTAACACCCTCCTTTAAGAGTGGAAAGAAAGGTTTTCCAGGTTGTGTCTGAAGCTGTGCACATGCTTTTAGATCTCAGAAGCTGAACTGCACTCAACCAGGAAACTGCTAAAGAAGCTGTTCTATCCACACTATAAGGAACACAAACTGGGCACTGCTCCACTTGGTTCCTCCTTTTCATTTTTAACTGTACAAAGTGGAGACATAAAGGAAATAACAAAGCCAGGACAGGCATGATGAACTCCAATTACAAATAAATCAGTGCTCTTGTTTTAAAAGTTTGAGCTTCAGTGAGGCTTAGAAATGCTTGATAAACAGAAATTGGAGTGTGAGGATGAGGCTTGAATGAAAAAGAATAGGGAATAGAAGCATATCTAAGTGTTTTTCTGATATTCTGGACCAATTCATGTTGATGCTGCTTCACTGCTTCAGTGGAATGCGACCAACTCAGAGCAGCACAGCACCTGGTCCTGCTGTTCAGTTCACACTTGGGATAAGGAAGACTTGTTTTGCTTGTTACTGGAAAATATGTTTTCTCTGGGCTGAAGCACAGCAATTGTTAACAGCTTACACTATTTAGACACTGCTGCCAGACAAGAGAAAGAAAATATATAATGCAAATGCAGTAAAAAATGAGTTATAGACATCAAATTGGAGTAATTTGCAGTGAAAACTGGCAAGGGTCCTGCAGTTAAACCTTCTTTTAATGGAAAGTCCATGGAACCTTTCTAGGATATTTGAACCCTATAGAATCCTATTCTATAATAGGACTCATCCCCAAAAATATGGAATTCTTTCTAAACATAAATATGTACTCACCAATTGTTCTTTATTATTGTTTTCTGTGGGGAAAAAAAAAATAATACATTTTTGTATGTCTTGATTTAAATCACAGTTTCTTATAATCATTTTATGTTATCCGTAGGTCCTGTTTGACAAATTCAGCTAAGCTGCAGGACTACTTGTTTGAGCAGGTAACTTCTCACTTGTGATGGGCATAAAAGAGGCATTCTCTGTATACCTGCTGCTGAAAAGCTCTCAGAATGTGTTTTGTGAAGAACAGCTTCCTTATGACTCAGGGCTAATCTATTCAGGAAGAGGGAAAGCAGCACTTTGGGGCATGTGCTTGCAACACACTGGTCCTGACCTGGTGGCTTTGGTAAAACCAAAGTTTTAGGGACTAGAGACATAGCAACAAACTGATGCATCATCCCTCAAAAGGTGGGACTGTCGTTGCACTAGGGCTATCCAAGTTGTGCCTTGCTGTTTCTGACTTCCAATGTACCCAGTTCAAAGGCTGATCTGACAGATTGTCTTGGTGCCTTTGGCATACACTGATCTCCCAGACCCTGATAGCTTCAGAAATAAAAAAACAAATCCTCTTGAGCTTCACTTTCACCTCATAACAATTCAGATAAGCACAAACTTTTAAGTCTTAGAAGCATTTTGTATTTTAGACATTTACAATTCTGGTGGTGCAAAAAAGGTGAAGGAATGGTAATTCATAAATCCATACTTGCTTTCAGCATGAAGTTCTATGTGTGAGCTAATGCCACCCTGGGTTAGAGAGGTCAAATGATATCAATTCTGCAGTCCCTGGAAGGTGATGATGTGGTGAGCATCATAATTAGGTGGTTTTATTTTTTCCAGTTAAAAAGAAAAGGCTAGGTCTGATGTCCTGGGAGTGGACTTCAGAGCAAGGCTTGAAAGTGACCTCTGGAATCATAAATTACACTGCTTGGTCTGTGTCTGCATCATGTTCTGGTATATTAGGTTTACCTCCCTTTTCTGGTACAACATTTATTGCACATTTATGCAAAGGCAGGTTTAAGAACGAACAGAAAGTTTCTGCGAATACAAATCAGTAACTGGAAATATGGACTTAAGTACTTCAGTACTGGAAATATTGAAGTCAAGTACTCTAGCAGCAACTTCAGATCCTACCTTCTATCTTCTGACATGAAAACAACAGCAGGAATCTCCTTTCTCTTAATATAAAATTTCTAAATTCCTCTATTCATCACTTGACACTGGAACCACTTACCAAAACTTAGTTGTTTTGAAAAATGCATCGAGACTGAAGAAAGTTGACACAGAAGCATCTTGGGACAAAAGAACTGTGAAATTAAAATGCAAAATGCTGTAATGGATTGAAGGTTGCATTTATCCCCATTTGACCATATACTGCTCTTATTAGGATCAATAAGACCCATGGATATACATCCAAAGATAGAATTTGGTCCTCAGATGTGACTTAGTAAAAAAAAACCAACATATGTTGGCAATAAAGAAATTCTGTACTTACAAACTAAAATGATCAGCAACAAAGTGGCAGACAGTCCTCCCAGAAAATATCTGAGAACAGAACAATACCCAGAAAGGTTAAAAAAAGCCAAAGAATGCATATTGGGTTAAAAGAGGTGAAGCCTGGGTAGGAGGAGGAGGAGGGGTTCTTGCAGATGAACCCTCTGAACTCTGGTAGGTGAACTGTAATTTGAAACCAGATTACATAAACTATTGAAGATAATCTCCTGGAAAGAAAGACCTCAACATTCAGACTGCAAGAAAAACCCACTTAGAAAGACATGTATCCATTCTGATTCTTCTCAGCCTGCCAAAACTCCTGTCAAAGCAGACTTGGCAAAGTAGCTTTCATATCTGCATGCATATTTCTTATTTTTGTGCATATCTATGTAGCTTAGGTATTTTCCTGCATCAACTATCATGTGAAAATATATTTTCACAATAAGATACATATAATTTTGAAAATATGACCCTTAATTGAAGTTTTATTCACCAGTTGAAATGAAGCAAGCACTCATGTCAGAAACAGAAAATAAAAGAAATAAAAATTACCTTGTACATACTGAAATGATTAAGCACATGATCAGTGCAACCATCTGAGAAATGACATTTTGCACTGTCCTGGATTCTAAAATAAAAATCAGGAAAATAATGGGTTTTAATGAAAGTAAATATATGACAGGAGGTGTTTGCAAAGGCTACCTTCAGCCTGTGAGACCAGTCTCTTTGGTTGCTTTGAAAGAGAACTTGCCTGGAGTGATTCAAAGCAGAAACCTAATTTTCATTCTCTGGGTGTCTCTCAGGAGTCTTTTTTCCCCACAACTACAGAAACACTGTGCCCTCCATGCTCTCAGAAAACAAGCCTTTCTGCATAATTGCCTGTTTCAATTTTTGCTCCCATGCCCTTTCCTCCATTTTCCTCTTCACTCCTCTTTTTTTTTTCTGAAAAATGGATGAGGGAAAGATGTGAGCAGGGGGTAGTAATCAACTAAATACCAATTTTGTGATTTTATTTTTAATCTTTCATTTAAAATACATGTTTTAGTAAATAAATTCTATTCTACAAGGGACCAGATCCATATTTTTAATGTATTTTCACTTCACTCTAAAAATGAGGTGTGCCAGAATAAGAACATAACATACCTGCATTGCTCCAGGTCTCTTCATTTGCATTTATCGTAAAAGAGCAGGGTTTTGAAGCACAAAATGGTTCCTCAAAATGAAGAAACTCATCATCTTTGGTGAGAAATGATCCATTAGGTGCTGGAATTTGCCTTTGTGACACATGGTTATTACATTCAGAAGAAAAGTCTGAATCACCTACAAGAAATGCATATAAAACTGAGATTGCACAAAAGAAGAGCTCTGAGACTTTGTATTAATGAATTTAGGAATTAATTACTGAATCACAGGAGAGTTTCCAAATTGTTAGAGGTAGGGAATTGGTGGGTTCAAATGCAGGAGAAAATATGCAGAGTAAAGACAAAACTGCATAGAGCATAACAGATGAAGTTATTGAAGGAGCCAGGTGAAAGCAGACAGTGCCAGGTATTAATCACACCAGAATAAACATTCCTGGTGATGACTTTGCATTCAAATTCAGTCAAAAAATGACTTTTTGGCACAGAGGTCTTTGTGGATTCATACTCAGTTTTAATGCCAGGAGCTCTATTTGTCCCTTAGAATTCTGTAGTTCATTCTATCCTTTACTTGCACACCTTGGCTAACACCTACAAAATTTCCAGAAAGAGATACTCAAATACGCACTAAACATAGACTGCAATGTTGTATCTTGATTACCAGGTACCTGATCAGGGCTTACCACTATCACTGTGACTGGCTTCTAGTTTACTGCATCCATCAGGCCAAGGATCCTCTACAAGGGAGAAATCCATCCTGCTGGGAATGGTGGAGCTGAGCCATGAGCTGGAGGCACTGAGATTGAACAAGCTGTCAAGAGAGCGACGGATTTTCTTCCTTCGCCTGAATATACTAGAAAGAAAAGATGTGTTGCCAAGGAATAGAGCTAATTATTCTTGCTGAGCAGGGACAGAGCTCTAAAGCTTGCAGGAATGACATGAAAGAACCAGGTTTTGGGTGCTGCTTCCAGCCCAGTTTTTAACTCTGGGCATGTCACCAGGAATGGCTGCTGCACACCACAATATGCCAGGGAATGTATTAACAGCAGGGCTGATCATGCTGTTGTGATTCTGGATACTGTGGTACCAAATGATATCACAGCTACTGGTCTCTGATAGTGCTGTGTCTCATGCTACCTGTGATTGCCATCCTACCATATCCTATTTGAGGTAGTCTGAATCCATTGAATTCCAAGTTTTTTGAACTACATTTTATATACCTTCCTAAACCGTCCTTCTGAATCAATTGATGATTTTCTTTGAGTGAGAATTCCAGGACTGGACCTTTTTTATTTATATATATGTATGTGTGTGTGTGTGTGTGTGTTTTAGACAAAGATATTTATATTTATACTTTTTTCTTAGTCCTTATCAGAGTAACACCCACCCCATTGGCAAAATGAGCTGTAGCTCTCTCCTTTTCCTTTATTGGACACAACTTCAATTATAGCAACAACTGTGCACTAAGGAGTTTTTGGGTAGTAAGATGTGACTGAAAATCAGGTTATTTCATTCAATGCACTCTCTAAAGCAATTGAGATGTTCCCATTCAGAAGTAATGCTGGTCTTATGCCAAGCAATATGTAGACAGACACAAAGACACCTCCAGATAAGGCCAGAGATGTGGAGGCAATCGCCAACATGGATTAAAATGTACATATAGTTCACTTACCGAACTAAATTCTCTTTATATGTAACACTTGTGTGGGATGGTGTCAGTGTTATGTTGCCCTCTTCATCAGAAACAAAACTGTCTTCTGTCAAAACATAATAACCATTAGAAAGCAGTCGAGGGCTGCGGCGGCATGTAGGAAGGGAGCCTGTCAGAGGAGTTGTGGAGCACTCATAGGCAGGATCGTCATCCAAAAAAGCACAAGTACAGCTGAAAAGTAGAAATGAAAGCCTTTAATTTAGAGGTCTGGACAGAGCAAATTCACAATTTAATAGTAATGAATTTCCATTCCCAGCTGATGGGGACTGGTAATGACATAGATTTAAATACATGGATGTGATGATATTGCTCTTTACCAGGGGGTTTCAGCCAGCTGACGTGTGCATCACATGTTCCAGAGCTTCAGATTACAGGAGGGATACATGCCAGGGGAGCATTTCCTGAAGCATGGAGCCAGCTTGAGCTCAGAAGTGCTCGGTGTGTTTCCGTGGCAGTGTTCTTGGCCAAGTAGTCCTGCCAGACCTACCCCGACCTGGAGCCATCAGAGGCATTCCAGTATTTGGCTTTTCTGAATTCCTCTACATGGCACAAACTGGGTGCCCCTGAGCCAGGCAGGATTTACTTGCTTTTTTATAATCTGGCCATATTTAGTGAAGATTTAAGGATACATGACTTTTAACTCTCACAAATCCTAGAATGCCATGCAGCTGGAACAAAATGGGATAAAGCCCAGATATTGTGATAGCTGCATCCAGGACTGAAACACAATTGACTTTGGGATGAAATACAGCACAGAAAACTATACTCTCTGGTGTTTAAAATAGAAGTGAGTAGTGACTAAAGACTAAAATAGTAGTGAGAAGTGAGAGGTGAAAGGATCTAAAAGTTGTAGACATTGTACTTAGTTTGACTAAAATTTAATTTATGGTTATACCTGTTATAAATCTGTATTGTGATATTGGCTTTCGCAAGTATTAAGATGAATATTATATGTTAAATACTTTTTGGCTATGTATGTACTTTTTTTCTTGCTAAGAAGTTTTAAGCTTAAAGGAATCTCCTAAGTACAAGCAAGGAGACCCCAGAGGGCAAAGACAGTGGGGCCCAAGCTGTTATCAGGAGAAGATGTGAAGCCCAGCTGCTCTCAAAGGAAGGATGAGGGGCCCAGAGTGTTATCAACACTGACCATTTGCAGAAGGAAACCAAACTCAAAATAATGCTCATCAGGAAGAATAATGATGACCACCAAAAATAGTGCTGAACAGCAGAAATAGAAATCAAACAGAGCATGTTCTAAATAGGCGGAACCAGCGTGGGGACATGCTAAATACTTCTTGAAAAAGTTTGAATATGCATCAAACCCTCACAGCAGGAGGGGATAAAAAGAGTGTTCCCAAGATACCAGGTGTGTTCCTGGCAACCTGCCAGGGCACCCAGCTGTTTTAACCCTTTGCTTTATTTCCTTTGTCTCCTAATTGTCTTTTTGTTTATATTAAACTTTTTATAATTTATTAAGTGAATCTCGTTTTTAACATACCTTTCCATTTAACACCTATGAGTTCCAATTTGCCATGCAGTGACATCATGGAAAGAAATGAAGACACCGGATTGATTTAGTGTCTGACCTGTGTTTCAGTAAGAGATTTAACTATCCCATATGGCATGTCACACAGAGATACCATAATTTCAGTGTAGGGAAAAGCAGATGGAAGAGAGATACTCCAAAACCCTGTAATTTCAAACCCAGTGTTTCCAACCTCAACAGCAGTACTTCTGAACTTCCATTTTGGGCAGTAATTAAATTATTATCAGCACTACAGTTCTCAGTGGCCCAAAGGGGATTTTTACAAAATCTACACCAGAACAAAAATAAAATTAAGGAAGTGTAACTTTCCTTAATACCTTGGAAAAATATGTCTTGAGAGGTTGTGTCTATGCTCTCCATCATGTGGTGTTGAGCCTGCAGAAGCAAAGGTGAAATAAGAAGGAATCATTATCATATTCACTGACAGCTTGTACATACCAGAAAGATAATAAAGAAAGCTAAAAATTGAAAGAAAATTAAAGGATTCATTAAAACATATGAAAGGATATGAAGGATATAAAAGGATAAAACATATGAAAGAATCAGGGAAAGACTTGTAGAAAACTCATTTCAACCAGGACAACACAGAATCAGAGCCAACAGAAATCAGATACTTTTACTCTGCCCAGATAACAGACTTGAGAGAAATAATTATGGACACAAATGCAATAACTGCAGTAATTTTAAAGTGTTTTGCCAGAAATCTGCTTCATGCCAAAGCCAGAACCTGAACTAGCACTAGATACTGAGAAGAATGGAAAGGCCACCATTACCACTATATTTTATTTTCCTTATGAAAATTGCAGACATAGCACAACCAGCACAGGGATTGCTACAGTGACAAATATTTGACAGTAATATTGTGGCAGGAGAATAAGGAAATAGGATTTGTCTGGATTACCATTGCTCAAGTGTGCAAAGGGCTGCTAGATGTTCCACACCTGACAGAATCAATCTTACAAAACGTGAGCAAGGGCTATCCATAGGGAGAATTTATGTCTATTATTACATGAAAAGATAAAAGATATGATCTTTCCCTATATTACCTTGTCTCTCCTGAATCTTTAGAGCTTCAGACTTACAACACTGTTAGTAAGTGCTCATCCTTCACCTCCAAGAGGAGATAGGGCTCAGAGAATTTTATATTTTTATGTTCAGTTATGAGCTGAGGCAAATAAAAGACATGAAGGTCAGGGTTTCCACTTTGGTAATCTTGTTTAACCTCCTTGGAAGATCAGTTGTCAGCCATTTCACAGGGTGTGAAGTCTGACTCACCCTTGGGACCAGGCAAGGTGAAAGAAGTAAAATGTTCAGGGTATTTTTTACAAATCAGTCCTATTACCCTGGTCCCATGCATACTGTTTCTCCTACCCTTTGTAAAAAAAATCACTTTACCGTGAACAAATTATGCTCTAATGGCCACAAAAATAACTTGAGGTGGAGAAAATGGAAAGAATGGAGGAAGGTACAGAGAGATCAAGAAGCATCAGTCAGAATACCACGGAGCAAGTTGTACAAACAGTGGGACCAGTGGTGTATTTCATAGTTTGACATGTATTTGAGCTATTTTTAACATACAACTACCTCCTGAAATAATTTCTCTTATTTCAGGCAAAATCACGATTCTTAAATGTGTAAAAAAATATCTTACATTCAAAAGCAAGAAATGCATTCAAACTCTAGAAGAAAATACAGGGATGACTCAACAAGCAGTGTGTAGATTTGGATAAAAACTAAAACAAGCAAAATCCTAAGTATTATAAGTCAAAAAAAATCCCCTCCACAAGGTGTTTATTTTTATTAAAATTGACAAATGTATCCAAATCTATTTGCTCTTGGAGTTGAGGCAACATATGATGTTCCATACATATTGAAAAGTACTGCTTCACACACCCTAGGGTAACAGGGAATATAGATTATCTGTAAAAGAGTTTAAAAAGAAACAGAAACATGTTTTATTTTGTCTTGTTTGAAAATTAGGATGGGTAAGATAGTATCAGCAATATAGATCAAATTATTAGTCATAATGGATTCTCACTTAGGCAAAAGTAACTGTTTCTACGGCAAATTTTTTTGAAAAGGATATATAGAAGTATATGTCAGGATCAATTATACCTATCATAACTCTTTAATAATCTGAGTGAAACATTCCAGCAACTGAAACCCACAGCACAGCTGTATTGCACGCAATTCTTTCATTTATGATAATAAAAAGCAGCAATGTCTAAAAAAAGAATAACTTTTAGGAGTGGCAGCTTTCCTATGGGGTAGTGTTTTCACTGTAAGATGTTGACACATACTGATCACAGTGGCAGGACAAACCACAGTCTTTCTGTTCCTCATTTGAATTCTCTCATAACTTTGCAAGGTATGTCTTTGCAGCATGTTTATTTGCCACCCTCCAGAGAAATAAAATTTAAGATAGAGTATATTCATCTATTTATAAAAGAAAGTGAGCAATATACACATGCAGATATACTACTGGTGAGGCAAGGCATTACCCTCTTTTCAAGAACAATTAATAAGTAGTTGTAACTTGCTTTTAAACTACTTTAAGTATCAATAATATCAAGCTTCTGTGAACAGTAATAGAACAGGCAGCCCAACAGATTTTTTTGCTGGCCTTGATCGTGAAAATTTTTCGCTCATGAATAATGAAGAGAGTTCTTGAAAATAATTCAATCAGTGATGGAGAAAACATGGAAACTTCATGTTGCAGACAATGCTGCACAGTGTTCTGCCTTCATTTAATATTCAGTCCAATTTCTGTGCTATTAATAGCGTGAGAAGCTATAGTAATGACATAACAAAACAAAGCTTCTCAACCATCACTGTACAATGCAGCAGTGATATCTGTGATCCATGAAATGAGCCATCAACACAGCACGTCTAAACCATGGCATGAGAAAAAGCCAAGAGCTCTATGAAATCTCGCTAAACACAAATCTGTGGTGAATGAGGCAACATTTTATGTCAAGAATCCAAATAAAAATTTAAGGCAGCAACCTCCTTTGGATTTCAAAACACACAAAAGTTCATGTTGTAATATAAACAAAAAGTCACTATCCAAACCAGTCAGTTTTACCTACCTTGCCCTCCAAAAATCAAATTAGTGTTTAAGCCAATGATGCCTTCAGTATACAATCTAAATATTTACATTAGTACCTACCAAAATATAGCACTAACTATTCAAATAGCTGAAACTCAAGCCAACCAGTTTTATTCTATTGTATCTACCAAACACAAGTGTCTACAAAGGGAGTTTTATTTGTTCAAACATATCGGTTGTTTTTGAAGTTGTTTTCTCCCTGTAGGTAATGGTAGCAACATTCACAAAAACGCATAACTTCCTGAAGAACAGCACAGAAATGAATCCAAAGCTTAGCTACTCCTCAGCTAACTATATTAAGAGATAAGCAAGGCTAAAATCCTTCAAACCTGGGAAATCCATTTCCAAATTAACACATGCGTGCCGAGCTTTTCCTCAGCCGGGACTGGTGGAGCTGTTCTGGGGAGCTTCCCGGGAGAGCCCAGCCCAGGCTCCTCGCAAAGGCTGCTCTGACAAGTCCCCTGTTTCCTTTTGAAAACAGCCCGTGCAATCAGCGGCACAGAGCCCCAGTGAGGTCACGCTTCCTGTAAAGTAGCCTCACATCAGAAGCATTTGTTGTGAAGAGCAAAGCGAAGATAAAGATTAGCCCAGAACGCTCCTGCCGGCTGTTGCGAAAGAGAAGAAGCACTAGAAATAACATCTCGCTCCAATGATCACACAGAGAACAAAGACACAACCTTTCCTCATCAGTGACACCGTTTTGTTTCAGATTTGCTTTTCTACCTCGCACAGAAAACTTTCAAGTTGTGTATACAAATAATTCCATTTGTTGAAATACTTGTGAGCCTGACAGGCTTTGATGTAAGAAAATTATCCAATTACCAAAAAATAATAATACATTTTGCAAAAGCACTGTTGTACAGAAGATACATTTGGTGAGAGTTCAGAGCTACATCTCACAGCTGAAAACATTATTGCAAATATATGCCATCAATGTTAATATAAACTCCATTGAAAGGAGAAAGGAATAAAGCCATTTGTAAACATATTCATTGTTGCATGCTAAATGTGTCATATTGTGTAAGGCATCATTCATCACACCTTAAAGTATGAAAAATAAATCCAAATCCACATAAGAGAAATAGAGCCTGAATAAGATATCCTGCAATCAAAAGGATTTGGCTGCAGAACTATTACATACAAAAGTAATATAAATCAGCTGCTTGACACTGAATTGTACAGCCTTAGGGGGTAAAACTTCATCTCCAAATAGATAAAATGATCTAGTAGTTTTCTCTCCTGATGCCTGTATGTATCACTGACAAAAAATGAAAGCATAAATCTAGTAAAATATTATTTATTTGATGATAGTTTGTGGGGTTTTTTTTCCCCTGGAGAAGGAAAAATACTTCCACTGATAAAAAGAATATAAAAATCTCACCTCCCAGAAAAGGAAACAAAAATAGGAATTAGGCAATTAGGATGTTGCAAAAGACCTCCTGTTTGTGAGTTAAACTGAAATGAACATTTTATGATCTTTTTTCTCAAACATAAAAATAGGGACACGGTCCATCTTCACATCAGTTCTTTTAATTTAGTGGAATTATGTCAATGGGGAAATTTAGTCCAGCACTATTTCCATGGATGCATGGGCTTCATCACAGCAGCATTTCCCTGGCCACCCTGCCTCTCTACAGGCAATGAATATAAATTCCCAATGATCTTTAAAACTAGGTCACCTACAGAAGAATTTCTGTACACACACAAATTTACTCCTTTGCTATATTTTTTGGTTTCTTATTCTTCTCAACAGGAAGCAGTGAATTCCAAACTTGAACTGCTTTTCTGAAGGACATGGATATTCCATGTATATAACTATATAGTTAAAATATATTGTGTCTATATCATATTCAGGCTTGGAGATGTTTTCTTTTTTAATCACTGCTATTTGTATCTGCAACTCACTGTTCCACAAGCCTTTGATGCATAAACTTCATGCATTGGTGACTATTTTATAGGTGAATGCTAGACTATATACACATATATAATGGTTTATATACAGCTTTTTTTTTTGTCCTTTACCCTGTCACTTCCCAAATTTCCCACTCCACCACAAGCCCTATCTCAACAATAAAAAATTCAAACCAGGTTTACAAATTTTACAAAATTTTACACCAACAAGCTTACTTGCATTAGTTTTATGCCTGTGGCACACATTACCATTCAACCCACAAAAGGAAGGAAATTAGAAATTACAATACTAAATACCATCCATTTTTGTACAGTTCTCCCAGGCTCACTCTGCTTTTGATACAACAGATTGTGCAGGGTCTGGCAGTCCAAGAGAGGTGGGGCTGGGGTCCCAGCCTGAGCAGGTACCCCCGAGAGGGACACACACAGAGTGCATTTATAACCACACCTATACAGACACACACAGCTGGCAACACAGGTGACAGGGACACACTGCACCAACAGCTTCATCCTTCTCACCCCCGTGGCTGAACAGTGCAGAGGTCCGCGCACATCTGTACACATCCCTCCAGCAGCTGGGCTCAGGAACTCTGTCTGCCCAACAGCTGCCCCTGATCCCAGTCTCACCAGTTGCATGCACCCAGATATTGGAGCCCTCGGGGCCACAGCCCCACAACCCAGCTGGTGATGCAGACCATCTCACACAGCTACAGCTGGCTGGGGTTCCCAGGTCCTCAGCAGCCCACTGAGAGACACCCCAGCCCACATGTGTCCCAGGCAGCTGCTTCTCCCAGCCCCAAGGTGCTCTGCTGTTGGCTCATCTGGGTGGGTTTCATGGCCACAAGGGCTGAGACTTGTCTGGAACAGCCCTGGGAAAGACCCAGCAGACAAGGCTTCCCTTCCTCTGAAATCCCTAATTCAGGCTCCCACCTGCCTTTGTGCCCCCAGGCTCCTTTGGCTGATCAGAAAGGCTTTTGATGGGCTGATAGCTCCTGGAATGGGAACAACTGGGTGCAGGGAATTCTTTGGGCTCCCCCCTACACTGTTGTCCCTCTGAGCTTCTCTGTGAGTGTGCAGATGAGCTTTTAGCACATATTACACCATAACTTTGCTATCTCAATGGCCTGCTGCAACTCGATGCAGAGTTATGCTGAACACAATTTTCAGGAAGGGTATTTTCCTGGTAGAATGAATTGAGTGGCCATCATGGAGAGAGTGGAGTGCTTATTGATTGAATGTAATTGAGAGTAATGTGATGCTTCTGTAACTCTCTATGAACCTTCTGGAAACCTGACAACCTTTAACTGTCCACCAGCTTCAGCAACCATCAAATCAGGCCATTTTTCCTGTATCACAGGTCTGTGTCAATATTGTTTATATAGTACTCAAAAGTAAAAAAAAAAATTCTGAGAGGTCTGAAAATTCATTGCATTTTTTTAAAAAATACAGCAGGGGAAGGGCTGGCCATGAGAATCTCTGAGCAGCCTCACTGGGTCAAAAGTAAGGTCTATCAAACTCTCCTTGCCTGCAGTCTTGCTGCAGGGCAAACTAAGACCAATTTTAATTTAGCTTGCTGAATGATAACATTTTAAGCTAAGTGCATGCCTTTATGAAGCAAAAACACTTAGCAATATTTGATGGATTGCTAATTGAAAAAAAACCAACAAAAAAAATCTCACAAACCGAGGCCTTTTATTTCAATTTTAAGAAAAGGCTGATCCTGCATTAAGTTAGCATTTCAGTGCAGGTTACAGAATTGTCACATCATATATGATTTTAATAACCTGATCAGGTCAACTGTATGAACAAAGATTAATTAGCCTGAACAAAGATTAATTTGCTTTAAAGTGGAACAAATCCATTTTTAATGCTATCAGATGGAAATCCCATCACACTCTATCAGAGACTTTGAGATCCAGGATTGATTTTTGACTCCCAAATTCATTATTTTAGCCTAACTGTTCCTTCAAAACAGGAAAAAAAAGGCATTTCTTGTCTGCATGGTGGAATACAGTGAATAGACCTGTAAAATTTGGAATTAGCTCTGAGCTTGCTAATACACTTATACTGCTTAGATCTTAAGAGGTTACCTGCAATAATGCTATGTCAGCTGCCTCTGTATTGTACCATAGACATAGTGCAGATAGACAAAAAATGTTTAAAAAAGATCTAAATCAAGTAAGCCACTGATGGACAATGATATTTCTTTGTACAAAGCCATGACCAGTCTGCATTGTATCTCCACCCTTCTTGATTATATGGTTCCATAGAGAAATTTCCTTGGTATCTTTACCTGATGTAGACATGGGAAAATGCCACATCATGATAGAAGAGCAGAGTAAAAATAGACATGGGAAAAATACAAGAAGTGCTTCCATTAGAACCTGTAACTCTCCCACCCTGCATCTGAAAATACTGCTTTAAAACCCATTTTATCAGAGAAAGAAAACAAAAGGAAGATGTTCAAATCCATCAACCAAAGCAGAATTTAGTCAAGGTTGCTAATAGAACTCAGGTGAGTCCTCATTAGAGCTCTTCATAAATTTCCTCACAAGAAGATCTGACCATTACTGAAAAAGGAGGAAGGAACACTAAAAAAAAAGCAACAAACACACAGACTTATACTAAAAGCTGTTTGACTCAATTTTATAAAGGATGACAAAAGTTAATGAATCAGCACACTGCAGTGTCTGCTGTGACTACAGGCAGCCAGGACAGAGTCAGCTGCTGGCCAGTCGTGCTCCAGCAGCATCTTATTTGCAGAGAATAGAAATATTAATGCACAGATCACTGGTCTGAGCAGAGAATGTATGGGAACAGGTTTGAGGTGATGTGTGCATGGTGTACACCCATGGTTCCTAAGCTCACAGGTCATCACACTTCCAGCACAAATCTACGTGACACATTTTAGGACACACAGAGAGGGAAAGGACAGGGACTAAAGGAGGTAGGGCTGTGTGGGGACACTGCTGACTCTCAGCTCTAAAGGGTATAAGAAGCCATGCTAAAATCCATCACTATGTGACCAACTCAGGAATAACCCATAAGGCATGGAGAAGACTCAGTTGCCCATATTTCTGTCTCCCATGTCACTGTAGTTAATGAGGGACAGACCACCTGCATGGTTAAAAGCACCTGGGTGGTTAAAAGCTGAACAAGCCACGTAGATACACATGGCTTTAGGGACCTTCTCTGTGCTTTTACTAGACACATAAAATTTTATCTTTGGTTGGGGGTTTTCTTGTGACATTTTGAGTCCCAAAGTAAAAATTTATATTCCTCTGGAGTGGCCATGCACTGCTGCTCACTGTACTTGGGAACCTGTGTGACAGTCTGATGTGATCTACATGGCACAGAGGGTCTTGTACCAATGTAAGGTGAAGGCTTTTGGCCAACATATGATGGTAAAGGATCACAGCATGCTTTATATATACTGAAAACCTGTAGGTGAGAAGTGTTGGTACAACTGGTTCCTGAAACAATGCTAGTGGCAAAACAGTGATCATTCTGATCTCATGGTCATTTCTATAATAAATCCTACTGAGTGAGGCATAAATGAAGACCAGTAACAACTGAAGAGATAATGTTCTTTAAAATGCCTGTCTTTACGAGCAACCTTATCAGTTGTCTCTCTGTAGTCTGACATTGACTGAGTCCCCTTCTTCCTGTATACCAGTATTTAAGCAAAGTCTAATTTTGTGAGGCATATACTGGGAG